CCCCCCGACAGTTTTACTTGGTCCTGTAAAGGTCATTATGAGTTGGAATCAACTCCATGGCAGTGTGTTTTTTGTTTGTTTGTGTCCAGGAACAGGAAAGTGATCCTTGATCCTCAGAGTTCACTTTCAGTAATCCACAGCTTATGAAAAGTGATGGTTCTTAACCATGTGGCTGCTTCTGTCACCACTGTAGAGCTGGATTTCCATGTCTACTCTGAGTTTAGCAAGTAGCTTTTGGTTCTAAGTGATGTTGGCTTTAGTTTTTAATCTTTGGTGACACCTAGGGAGATCTCCTTGGCCTCTTCAAATTAAAGCATGCAGGCTCTCAATCAGATTGGATAGTGGATACGCTAAAAATCTTCTTGACAAATATTTCTCTTTTTAAATTTGAATTTGATACATTTTATTTTCATACATATGTCAGACATGGGCAATGCTTTCTGGAATTTGGCAAATATTTCTATGATCAATAGTACACCTAAGAGTATGGAGGCTCGTGTTTTAATAAGTGGCTACCGGGGATGGAAAGTGGAAATGGGGAATTACTGGGGGAGGGGTTAGATGGAGCTTCTGTTCAAGGTTGTAGGAAAATTTAGAAATGCATAGTGGTGATGATTGAACAACACAGTACAATTCATGTCACTGATCTATATGTGTACAAAATATTGGAATGGCAAATATTTTGTCATTTATACTTACCACAATTGAACAGAAATCACTTCTTTTTAAAAAAAATCATTTTATTGGGGGCTCGTACAATTCTTATCACAATCCATCCATCCATCCATCCATTGTGTCAAGCACATATGTACATTTGTTGCCATCATCATTCTCAAAACATTTGCCTTCTACTTGAGCCTTTAATATCGGCTCCTCATTTCCCCCCTCCCTCCCCACTCCCCCCACTCATGAACCCTTCATAATTCATAATTTTGTCATATGTTACACTGTCCGATGTCTCCCCCCCCCCATGTCTCTTCTCTGCTGTCCACCCCCCAGGGAGGAGGCTATATGTAGATTCTTGTCATCGGTTCCCCCTTTCCATCCCACATTCCCTCCACCCTCCAGGCATCGCCACTCTCACCACTGGTCCTAAGGGGATCATCTGTCAGAAATCACTTCTTAGAAGTCATTTGGGGATTTTCAAGGCCTTATCTATTCTTTGGCCAATGGAAAAAAATAGGTACCACAAGAGAACCCTGACTCAAATGAAGAGTTCAACTAGACCCTATTGGCTTTGGGACCCTTCATTGGCTGATGTTTGGCTAGTTGTGATACTTGCATTATTTCTGAGTTCCTTCAGGTTTTGAGAATTAGAATCCTGAAAATTTATCAAGAAAACTTGGGGGTAGCAAAAAAGTTTGAGACAAGTGTGACAGGTAATGGCAAAGACTATGGGATCAAATTAAATTACTAAATGTATTTGTAAGTTTATGTATCATTAAAAACTATATTAAATACCATGGTATTTTAGGAGGTATTTACTTTTGTTTTTCTCATTTCTTGTGTAGTTGTGACTTTATATGCAACGCTTGGCACAGAAGCAGTAGTTCATGGGCTCAATGAATCTGAAGCTTCCTACCTGATTACTAGTGTTGAACTTCTAGAAAGTAAGCTTAAGGTAAATATAAAATGGACTTCTTTTCTCTTAATTCATGGCAGTGTTTCTGGTAGGAAAGAAAAATGGCTGCTGATTTAGCTTTTAATTTAGGGCCCAACTTAATAGCTGGGTTTTCTTTGTGCTCAACAGCCTGCACTGTCGGAGGTCATCTGTGTGAAACATATCATTTATGTGGACACTAAGGCCGTCAATAGAGCAGAGTACCCTGCAGGATTTGAGATTCACAGCATGCAATCCGTGGAAGAATTGGGTTCCAAGCCAGAAAACGGTAAGAAAGACAGTTAAAATAAAATGTTGAATGTATTCAAAGTTAAATTTTTTTTCTTTTGGTAGTAACACAAGTGAACATGCTTAGTTTTTTATTTAAAAATGTTTTAATAAAAACAGTCAAGATTGCTTTTCCCCCTTTCTCTGTAATAAATTGTTTAGAATTTACCAAACAATTGAGATATACTTAGTGGTTCAGACTTGGTGGTAAAGACCAAACCTACTCATTCTTTCGAGTCTCTTCTCACATATAAGGACCTGTAGGAGAGCATAGGACTGCTCCATGGTGTTTCTGAGACTGTCGACCTTTATGGAGCAGACAGCTTCCCCTTTCGCCCATGCAGTGGCTAGTGGATTTGAACTGCTGACCTTGCTGGCAGTTGCTTTAAAACGTTAATTAAAAACAAACAAAAACAACCAAAGCCACACAACAACCATCCATTTTGAGCCGCATGCGAGCAAAAGATCTCAGACCTTTCATTCAGTCCACTTGTTTTTTAATGCTTAATGCTTGTAGACCTTAATGATGTTTCAGAGGATGCAAATCTGGTTAGTGACCAAGATTACATGTTTGGATTTATCAGGATGGAGAGCTGAATAAATAATAACTCAATTTGAATGGTTTCCTTTCTCTTATTAATGTGAAGGTCATAATACCCTACTAGCTGAAGAAAGAATTTATCCAGAAGAAGAAAATGTTGGTCATGATTACTTAACTTCAAATATTTATTACTAGTGACCGGACATGCATTTATAATAATAACAGGTATAGATATCACTCCCCACTAGGTGTCAAGGATGGAAGAAAGTCTTGAGATTTTTACTCACCTGCAAGCTAACAAGTGAGCCAGCCAGAGTTTCAGAAAGACACAAGGGTCCTGGGTCAAAGTTGCTTGGTGGTTAACAGCCCAGTGTGTTGCCCCCCCCCTCCCGTGTTGGATCAAAGTTTCTTAATTGAAGCAAGAGCACTCAGTCAGTACTCAGAAGATCAGCATTTGTGGTGCCTCCCTGCACCCAGTTTCTCCAGATCTATGAGAAGAAAGCCAAGTGATACCTGTGTACACAGTGGGGGATTGTGTCACAGAACAGGGGAACCCTGGGCTTACAGAACCCAAGTCTCATATTATAGGCAGTAAGCATGCTTCCCCTTTGCCTGGGAGGGAGATGCGCTCTTTCTTTTCCAAAGCTATTCACTGTGAAAACTTCCTTGAAAAGATAGTCCAGAGCAAAGGGCGGTCAGTGCCTCTGCGTGAAGAATGTGCAGAAATGCAAGAGACAGAGAACTGTCTCCCAACATCAAGTTGTCCCTCCAAGATTGAGGAAAGCCTGGTAGGAGTCTGTTGCTAATTCTGATAATTCACTAATGGGTATATAGCAGAAAAGTAGAGGTAAATAATTTACCATGACCAAGTGGGATTCATACCCGAGATGCACAGATGGTTCGACATTAGAAAACCAATCAATGTAATTCACCACATAAATAAGACAAAGAACAAGCACCACATGATCATTTCAAGAGCTGCAGAAAAAGAATTCGACAATATCAACACTCATTTCTGATAACAACAAAAGAATGGAAACAGAAGGGAAATTTATCAACACAGCAAAAGTCATATATTAAAAACCAACAGCCAATAGCATGCTTACTGAGGAAAACTGAAAGCATTTCCCTTAAAAACAGCATAACTCTCATTCAAAATCATATTGGAAGTCTTAGCCAGAACCACTATTCAACAAAAAGAAGCCAAGAAATGCAATTGGGCAAAGAAGAAATAAAACTCTCACTATTTGCTGATGATATGATCTTCTAGCGAGCCCCCCCCCCCAAGACTCCCTGAAAAGATTGTTTGAAACAGTCAAGGGATTTGGGAAAGTAGCAGGGTATAAGGTTAGTAATCAAATATTATTAATTTTTTGATTCCTGGATACTAATGAAGCGAGCTCCGAAAAAAGATATTAAAAAAAAAATCACAACTTTTTGCAACACAAAAGGTGAACTACTGAGGAGTAAACCCAAACAAACAAAACTACAGAATACTACCACACGAAACAAAAAAAAAAAAGACCTCCCTAAATGGAAGAATATTCTGTGTTCATGGATAGTGTGATAGGTTTATTGTGCCAACCTGGCAAATAAGAATATATGGGATTACGTCTACCTTACAAATCTGGCTAGACCAGAGGATATATATTGGTACAGATAGGAACTGGAAACACAGGAAATCCAGGACAGATGATCCCTTCAGGACCAGTGCTGAGAGTGGCAATACCGGGAGGGTGGAGAGAAGGTTGGGTAGGAAGGGGGAGCCGATTACAAGGATCTACATATAACCTCCTCCCTGGGGGATGGGCAACAGAAAAGTGGAAGAGGGGAGATTTCAGACAGTGTGAGATATGACAAATAATAATTATAAATTATCAAGGGTTCATGAGGGAGTGGGGAGCGGGGAGGGAAGGGGGGAAGAAGGCAAATGTTTTGAAAATGATGATGACACCAAGTGTACAAATGTGCTTCACACAATGGATTGTGATAAGAGTTGTACTAAGCCTCCAATAAAATGATTTAAAAAAAGAAAATGAGCTGTTTTCAGTATGCTAAAAATTATACATGTATTTTAATTAAAAAATTCAACAATGTAAAAATTCGAGAAAAAAAACCCACCACCACCAACAAAAAGAGCATGTGGGATTAATAAGGTCACAGATTGGAAGGCAAAGAGGCAAATGGTTTGGCGAGCCCTGTCCCCCCACCTTGCTATCTGGTAATCACACTAGTGTGCGGCTGCCTTAGTTAGTTCTCTGCCTCAACTTGTGAGCTACATTACCTGTGGGACACCTAACCAATGGATTGTGTAGCTAGAGCTTGAGGTTTCTTCAAGACCTGCTTCCCAACCCTGCTGGTGTATACCTTGCTTGAGCTTGGGACTGTTGGATGCTGTCATCTGACTGACCATTGGTAACCTCCCCTGCTGTTTTCAGCCTGTGGCCAGACTACCTGCATTGCTCTACAGAAGACTCAGCTGTCTGCTTCCTTGACCTTGGACCCAAAAGCCCTCATGAGTTAAAGGACTTCCAGTACATAAACTGTTTCACGGAATTGAGTTGAACTGAGTCCTCTGTACCGCTGTGTGAACTAGAAAACTGTTATATTCCTTCATGCTGTGTGTGTGTTTGTGTATATATACATATATAAAATCATAAGCTGGGTTTTGTTTCTCTAGAAAACCCAGTCTAACATAGATAGGCAGGCTTAAAATGTGAAAATGCTAATATTATCTAGAGCAATGTATAAACATAATGCAAAATCCCAATTTCATTCTTCAAAATAATGGGAAACCTTATCACCAACTTCATATGGAGAGGAAAGACACCTAGGATAAGCAAAGAACTCCTTAAAAAGGAAGAACCAGGTGGGAGGCCTCATACTACCCAACCACAAAACATACTGTATAGTCACAGTAGTCAAAATAGCCTGGTACTGGTACAAAGATAGATGCAAAGACCAATGGAACAGAATACAAAACTCAGAATTAAATGCATCCACCTACAGGCAACTAATCTTCAACAACTATCAAATGGGATAGGGACAGTCTTTTCAACAAATGGTGCTGGAAAAACTGGATCTCCATATACAGAAGAGACAGGACTTATATCTCTCGCCATGCACAATAAAATGAACAAGATGGCTTAAAGTCCAAAATGTAAATGCCAGATCTATAAGGATAATCAATGAGAAAAGCAGGACAAATTTAAGGACCCTATTGCAGGGCAGACACATACTACCAAGTATAATGAAGTGGAGAACAAAATAGATGAATGGGACCTACTAAAAATAAAGCACTTATGCATATAACAAGACGTCTTCAAATGGTCAAAGTCCATTTGCAGGGTCCACACATAGATTAAGCCTCTGATGAATTTCCTCTGACCATACTCAGATGTGAACAGACCTATGATCAGATAGAGAGCATTGTAAAGTTGATAATGGCAGTTGTAAATAGGTTAAAATGAACTCCCTCTTGACCCGTTTCAGATTGGTTCTAGTTTTTAATATTTTCTACTTTCTTTTCCATTGAGGTTTTTCCTCTGTTTTATGTTTTTGTTTTTCTGTATATGCAATACAGGATAGGCAAACCTATAGAGACTGTAACTGAATTAATGGTTTCTTGAGGGTATGGCAGGTGAGATTAGGGAAAGTGGGAAACTAGTAACAATGACTACAAGAAAGGAAAAAAGTTCTAAAATTGATTATGGTAATGATTGTACAAGGCTTCTTGATATGACAGCTATTGAGTTGTATGATATCAATTATATGCCAACCAAATTAAAGACTTCATCAAAAGAATAAAATGAGAGCCCACAATGGACAAGGGTCTAATTACCAAAATCTATAGAATTCTGCAGCACCTCAATGAAACATCACAGTGTTATATGATTGAAATAAAATTTGTATCGGTTCCTTGAGTGTAATAAATCTGCATTTCGGTACAAAAAAAAAAGGTAAGCAGCAAGTGACCAATTAAAAAGTGGGCAGAAGCATGACCAGACAATTCACCAAAAATGACACTCAAATGGCTACCAAACACACAAAAAAGCTCCTGATCACTAACCATCTGGGAGATGCTAATCAAAACAATGATGGGATATCACCTTATAACCACAATGATAACCCAGTTCATAAAAACAGAAAACAACAAATGCTGTAGAGGATGTCGAGAGATTGGAACTCTTATACCCCGATGTGGGCTTATAACATGTGCATCCATTGTGGAAAGTGACTTGGTGCTACCTAAAACAATGGAGTATAGAAAAACCACAGGCCCCAGCAATACCTCTGCTAGACAGATACCCCAAAGACACACATCTGTATGCCCTTATGTACATTACGGCACAGTTCACAATGGCAAGAACCTGGAAACAGCCCACACACCCAGCAGTGAAGAATGGATTTAAAACTCTGGTACATACACACAATAGAACACCAGTCAACCAGTCATCCCGAAAATTCCATGATGAAACCATGGCATGGGTAAACCTGGAATGCATTATGCTGAGTGAAATTAGCCAATCACAAAGGAACAAATTTTGTATGAGACCAGTTACCATAAAAATAAAGACAAAGACAGGCTTCTGTTCTCAAGTCTTCGAACTTCTATTCTAGTTTCCCAGGCAACAAGGTAGTGTGCCTGCCTAGAGCTGGGGAACCACGTACCACCCCCTATTTGTCCATCTTTAAAAACGTGATGGGGGAGGCCTCACCTCAACTGGCTCAATTTCCCATGACGCAGGGAGAGGAGAGAGTTCCTGCTATATAACATTATTCTATAGTCACCCCCAATTAACGGACATTTCTATAACAACGATTAGTGAACCTTATTGGAAATCCATATCAAGAGGGGGTGAGGTGGGGCAGGCCGGAGCTATCTCAGAGATAGCAACTACATTTCATCAGTGGGCAAACCAATACTTAATTAAATCAAATCGTGAAGCAATTGTTTCTTGACTTAGTCTCCATCTAGGCTTATTTACTTCTAAAGACTATGTGGTGTCATAGATTAAGTGTTGGATTGCTAACTACAAGATCAGCCATTTACACCCACCAGCCACTCTGTGAGAGCAAGAGGAGGCCATCTGCTCCTGCAAGGATGAATGGTGCTACTCTGCCCTGCAGGGTCACTGAAGGTCAGAATCAACTCAATGGCAATGAGGTTTTTGGTGTGAACTTTTCCGCCAGAGAATTCTCCACTCTTTGATTTACACCATGTCAGTTTTGGCATCCTTATGGGACTCACATCGTATTCTCCTCCCAACTCCCCCCCCCCCAAGAAAAACACCCCAGTTTTATTGGCAAGTAATATACAGATCATATAATTCAATAGTTCAAGCATTTAATCATACCAAGGAGGTATTGTACCATCACCCCCACGTTTTAGAACAACTGCCCTCCCATGGTTAAATCGTCTTTAAGATGAGTTGTGCAATCACAGTTTGTTCTAGTGCTCCCTGCCCCTCCCGTCTTCATTAGTGACTCCTGAGAAGATTGTTTGCGTTTGGAGAGCAAAAAGGAGGCTGAAGGAGAAGCAAGAGCTAAGCTGACGGGACAGGAGCAAGGCTGAAGGGTGGATGGGGTGAGGGTTCTCAGTGAAATGCTCGTCCGCCAGCCCTTGCTACCTTCGGAGAAGGAGCAGGTATCTTGCGATAGAAAACAAATTTCTGAGTCCAGCTTTCCTGGCCTCTTTCTCACGAATAGGTTTCTCTTTTCTTGAAACATCTTCCTCAAATAAACCCGTAATGATCATCCTGTGTCCTCTGAGCAAAGATGTCAGGATTACTCCTTTGAAATCCCAAACAGCAGTTGACACAACCTTCTGAGCCGATCTTTCTGCCCAGATTATCACTGGTCCAGCAGATCCCCTCCGAAGCTCCTGTTTTAATTGGACTTTGGTTTGAAAGCTAAGACAAGTATACTATAAAAAATGTTTTATCGGCAACTATCCACTAATCACAGACATGTTTAGACACACTTTGTTTAGAATAAACCATTGAATGTATGAACTGGAATCAATAGCGATATTTTTTTATGTACTTTCTTGTGGGTATTTCAAATAAAAGTGCAGACACATATACAGGGAGGCCTTAAAAAAGTTTGTGAAGAGATTCCCTTGTCTTGTAGTGCCATTTTCCCACAAACTTTTTGAAGCTCTCTTGGTGTATGTATGCTTTCATTTGATATATACATATGCATATATGAATTTATTGACTATAAATACAATGCATTAAAATAGCCATGTAAAAGTAAATGTTATTGTTAGGTGCCATGGAGTTGGCTGTGCATGAAACATGGCGGAAAAATGCATATATAAACTAAAATGGATCGCAAAACTCTCAAGTGGAATTCATGAAGCCCCCCAGCCCATGCTACATACCCAGAAATGTCAAGAAGAGGGGTGCTTTCTTCTAGGCTGGAGTGATGAGAAAAACACTACTTGCACACACACACACACACACACACACACACACACACGGATAACAAACTTTGACACCTGTTTTTGTTTAGATCATCAAGAGAGTATTTTTTTCGAGTGGTTTGTCCTCATACCAAAATCTATATCATCTTTGTTCAGTGGTGTAAATTCTAAACTAAAAGTGTGGTGCTTTTTAAATTTTCCTTTAGCAAGCGTCCCTCCCAATAGACCGACCCCTTCAGACTTGGCCATTGTGATGTACACTAGTGGGTCTACTGGCCGCCCCAAGGGGGTGATGATGCATCATCGCAATTTGATCGCCGGCATGACAGGCCAGTGTGAAAGAATCCCAGGACTCGGGTAAGAGCAGTTTTCAACTTGCTAAGAACTCCTGTTGATCATTCTCGAAACAGGGAGATGGCAGTGTAAAGTGCTGGAGGTTTTCAATTAGGAAAACCTTTTTAAGAGTGACTTAAACGTTTCTCATAATGTCTGCCTTGAGTGCTGTACGCTTTTTTTTTTAGTCATTTGATTGGGGCTCATACAACTCTTATCACAATCCATCCATCCATCCATTTGTACATTTGTTGACCTCATCATTCTCAAAACATTTGCTTTCTACTTGAGCCCTTGGTGTCAGCTCCTCATTTTTATCTCTCCCTCCCCTCTCTTAAGAACAATCTAAATGATATCAAACTGACACCAGCCACTCAAATGATGAGATGATAGAAAACTTAGGGACAGCTAGTATATGTTAATGGGGGAGTAACCACTCGGACAGGGGGGTTGAGAAGGGTTGGCACGAGGAGGTTAGAAAAGTCAGAGTGAGCATGCGCAACTCAGAGCGTAATCAACGTCACTGAATTGTTGCGTTGCCATCGGTTCTGCTTTGTTGATTCTCCATCACAAAATAGAAATTTAAAAACATGTTTCTCTCTCATTTTTTTTTTTTTTGGTAGACCAAAGGACACATACATTGGCTACTTGCCTTTGGCTCATGTGCTCGAATTGACAGCAGAAATATCTTGCTTCACCTATGGCTGTAGGATTGGCTATTCTTCTCCACTTACGCTCTCAGACCAGGTAACAAACTTTGTTTTTGCTATTATGAATTAATGGAGCAGATAATCAATTTTACATTCACCAGTTCATACACGTTTTGTTTCAACTCATCCATTGCAGCCCACTCAGTGTACTCTTACATCCTGCATTCTCCTTGGGTTTCCCATTGCTGTTCCTAATCCTTTCCTAACCCTCTGAACTTGGTCCTTTTAATCTTAAAATGGTTGATTATTCTAACCCAGGTGGATTCCACTCCAGACCCGATGTTGTGACTAAGGGCTATAGTCTTAGTTGAGGTTCCCCAGGCTCTTTCCGACCAGTTAGCCTGGTCCTTTTTAGAATTTTATGTTGTATATGTTTTTCTCCCATGCTTTTTCTACCACTGAAAGATACTAGGATAAAACACTAAAGCACCTTTATTTCTGAGTTGTAGGATCTGATAGGTGTAGAGCAGTAGAAACAGTTTTTTTTAGAAATACTTTTTAAAAACAAGATAAAATTATGTGTAGAAAGAAAATGATTGTGATGTGGGTGCCACATCTAACCTCCTGCAGCTACACAAGGGAAGAAGAAAATAACCACTAGCTAATGATGTTGGCCATGAGGCTGAGGCCAGACATGCTTCCACCATCCAGCCAGCCTTCCTAAGACACTCTCAGCTTCTCCACTGGGCTTCCTAACTCATTGCAATGGCCTTAACAGAACTCTGAGACAATACGATTGTGGGGTTTATTTAGGAAATTAACAGGTTAAAAATACTCAGCTATGCAAGCAGCTCTCTCTCTGTTTACCCTACTAGCCTTGTGCAATGGTACAGAGCTCTTTTAGGACTACAAATAAATGTCCAAATGGTATGCTACTCTTCCACAAGCTTCTGCACAAATCTAACTGCCCCAGGTAAGTGCCTGGAGGCATCCCCCTCTGCAAGCCTAAAGGCACTCGACTTTCCTTGCTCTGTGAGCTGAGAAGTCCACCAGTGGGCCTCATGCTTCTTCTGTTCCTGCTTCTTTGATGCCACAACTGTCTCCTTGCTCTTCTCTCAATGACAGTGAGATCCATCCACCCTTCCTGTGTTTAAGATGGCTCCTTTTATACCCAACAGGATGTCCAGTACAATTAACCTTATTGACAGTCACAGTTCAATCACAAAGGCCTATCAGTATCTGCCACCCCCCACCTCACTTTTCCTACCGTGACCCATTAGGAAAGTGCCCTTTGGTGCAAGTCACAAAGACAATGGCTAGAACAGCCATATTAAGTAATTCAGTGCACTGCACTTGTGGAAAAAGCCACATTAGAATACATTTCTGAATAGATTGTTAACCATTCACTGACCATGTTTTTAATAAGGTGGTTTTCAATGTGTTTATATTTTCTTTAATATAGTCCAGCAAAATTAAAAAAGGAAGCAAAGGTGATTGTACTGTCCTGAAGCCTACACTTATGGCAGCTGTCCCGGTGAGTATATAATGATATGAATATGAACCAGAAGAGTGTTGCTACAAATAGCTTATTGCTTGCACTTGAACTTTAGGGGGGAAAGTAACCCTCTGAGATACTTTATGCATTAAAAGAATCATCTAAGTTCATTGAAAATATGCCCCATATGTTCCTTAAAAATCTGAGATGCATATTAGGAAAGAGGGAATGCATAACCTGTTAGCGTTTGCAAATCCACCTGAAAATTTGGCTTTCCGCTCCTGTAAAGATTTATAGCCTATGAACCAAAGACGAAACAAACCCACTGCCCTCAAGTCAAAACCAACTCACAGTGACCCTCTAGGACAGACCCCGGTGGGTTTCTGAGACTCACTCTTTATGGGAGTAGAAAGACTCAGCTTTCTCCCTTGGAAGATCTGGTGGTTTTGAACTGCTGACCTTGAGGTCAGCAGCTAAATGCATAACCTTTTCTGCCACCGGGCTCCTTTTAGGTCAGAGTAGTTATTGCCTTTTTATTTTGAGTTGCTATAGAAACTGAAAAGACTAGCAAAGAAAGTTTAGAAATGGGAATGAAAGGCTTTTTGGGGACTAAAAAACAATAAAAGCATATTAATAGTAGAGGAAGACTGGTGGTTAGTGGGTTATGAGTTGGGCTACGAACTGCAAGGGCAGCAGTTGAAACCCAGCAGCCACTCTGTGGGAGAAAGGTAAGGCTTTCTGCTCCTGTAGAAATTGATAGTCTCTGAGACCCCAAGGGCCTGGCTATGGTCTTACGTGGATTTTAGTATGTAACGTGCTTTTATCTCAATCCCACCCCAAGGGGATTCTCACTTAATCTTTCCCAAAGACTCTACTACATACATGGGTCATGCTTTTCCCAATTTTTAAAGAAAGAAACATTTCTGAGATCACACATTCCATAGGTGATAAGAGGCCAAATTTGAACTCTGCTGATCAGATTCCAGAGACTTCTTAACTCATCAGTGTGTAAGCAAGCAAACACAGAACCCTGTTGCTGTCCAGCCATTGCCTACTCACAGTATTCAGATTATGTATTCAGATTAGAATGGGGTTCCATGAGGGTTTTCACTGGCTATAATCTTATGTAGATCGCCAGGACTTTCTTCCACAGTGCTGCTGGCTAGATCTGAATTGCCAACCTTTTGGCTTGTGGTGTACTACAATTTAGATATTTTTTTTGTCAAGACAATATATAGCCTCTACTACCACATAGAGCCAGCCTCCCTGATAAACTGGACCAGAGAAGGAAAGAGGAGGAAAGGCTATGGTCTCAAGGAAGTAATGTCTGAATTTCATCTTAAAGGAAGAGCAGCTATTAGCAGATACACAGTCTGTCTTGCACTTGCCTACCCGTTGACCATTCTCTGCCCTAAGTTTGTGCCTTGGAAACCTGATGTCTATGGGTGACTCACCAGAGTTACCAAAGCTTGCTTTCTTATTTTCACTTGGATTCAGCTAATTGGACATATTCACCAGAGACCAGAGAGAGGCCTGCAACTTTATTTATTACTTTTGCTCTTTCCTGCTGACCTGCAGTTCCCATGGCTACAGACCACAGTTGACTTTCAATAACAGGGTCCTTTCCATTCCCGTGTAAAGCTAGTTTAGAGTACCCCTGTTGCTAGTCCTTTGGTTGCTTCACCATGCCACAATGGTTACCTTAATGTCTCCCAAACCAAAACCAAACTCACTGCCATCCACTTGATGGTGACTCACAGTGAGGACTTGTGGGACAGGCTAGAACTGTCCCTGCCACTAAGAATCCTGTTGGCGTAGGTAGTGGTTATACGCTGGGCTACTGTCCAAAGTTTGAAACCGCCAGCCACTCCTTGGTAGAAAGAAGGAGCTGTCTACTGTTGTAAACAGTTATAGTTTTCGAAACTCACAGGGGCTGTTCTACTCTGTTTTACAGGGCTACTATAATGTCTCCTACACCTCTGTAAATAAGCCCTTACTTTATTTTTAACAGAGAATTTTCTGGATAGAATGTGTTTCTAACTTACCATTTAAACTCGAGTATAAACCAACCCGAATCAGCCAAGACACCTAATTTTACCACAAAAACTACATTAAAAATGTGCTGAAAAACTCGGTGTACACACAAGTATGTGCGGTATTTTGTTTCCTGGGTCAGAATAAAAGATAAATTTTCTGTTATCAAGTCAATTCTAACCCATGACAGCCCTGTAAGACAAAGTTTAACTGCCTCATGGGATTTCCAAGGCCACATCTTTCTCAGACTACCATCTGCCTATAGGTTAGAGTGCCTTAAGAATCTCATTTATAGCCATTTATCGAGTCCAGTGCTAAGTCATTTAGATACACCAAACCACTCTGAAGTGATGTTATAGGTGATGTGATAGGAGTCAGAGAGAGTCCATTTGAGTACTGTAAGATACACATTGTGAGAAGTCAGAATAAATGACTACTTTAGATAAGCATGGCTCACCTGAACATCTTGTAATGCTTCCTCACTGACTCACCAGTTGATTCTGACTCACAGCGACCCCTGTAATGAATGCTAGGTTGTGGTAATGGGTGACTTGAATAACCTTGGCAATTCTTTGCAAGTGTATTGTGTTCCTTACTTAGTGGGGCCTTTTCCAGGCCTGTGATTACAGATTACCATCTAGAATGTCAAGGAGTAGTGGGAGTATTTCTCACGTCTGTCTCCCATTTGCTCAATGGAGATAAAAGAGCCTCCAGGGAACTCTTGGGATTTCTTAGTCACAGAGATAGACAGTTATGCAATGGGATACCTTGTGTGGACTGGGAAGAAAACAATAGCATTATACAAGGCTGAAATGCCTAGTAGCCTTCTAAAGGGAAGCCCTATGCTTCTCTTATTTTGGAGTGTTTCTCTTCAAACCGTAAATTTTCACTTTGTAAATTTAATAGTACAATCACTACAAGTGAATCATCGCTATTTTTGACTTAAATATCTCTATATAAGTAAGGAGTCCCCGAAGAGCCCTGATGGTGCTAATGTATTACTCATTGGACTGCCAACCTCAACGTCTGCAGTTCAAACCCACCAACTCCTCCTATAAATATTTCCAGCCTCGGAAACCCTTGAGAGGGTTTCCATGAGTTAGAATTGACTTGATGGCAGTGGGTTTTTGGTAAGAAGCTTCATGGCTAAGTGCTTGGATAGTAACAAAAAAGGTTCATACTTTGAACCCACCCAGCGAGAGGCCCCTTGGAAGAAAGACCTGGTGGCTTTCTTTTTAATAGCCATTTTAAAAGCCCATGGAGCACAGTCATGCTTTGAAACACATAGGGTCGCCACAAGTCAGAATTGACTCAGTGACAATCATTTGGGCATTTATAAACTGTACTGTTACACATCTTTTCAGATTACTGAATATTTTGCTTACATTGTAGGAAATCATGGATAGAATTTATAAGAACGTTATGAGCAAGGTCCAAGAGATGAACTATATTCAGAAAACTCTGTTCAAGATAGGGTACGATTACAAATTGGAACAGATCAAAAAGGGATATGATGCGCCCCTTTGCAATCTGTAAGTACACTCTGCGTGGGATCCTTTAAATCTTTGTTTTTAAATCTGGAAGATGTGTATGTTCCTGGCAGGTCTAATTCCATTCTGAGTGCCACCACCATAATAAGCTTGAATTTCTTTTTTATTCACGGATTTACTAACCATGTATATTTAAGGTGTAATGATGAAATTTGGTCTCAAGGAGGCAAGCGAGAGTGGACTTGTTGAATCAAAGTATTTGAGTTTTAAAACCATATTAAAGAAGAAATGAACAATGAGTGCCAGGAAGAAGCTTCTAGAATTGACTGTGGTTATAATTGTACAACTCTTCTTGATATGATTGAATTAATGAGTTATGGCATATGGCAGGTAGATGAAGTGCTAATAACACTGTTTGAAAAAAGAATAAATGAGCCATAAACTTTGAGTGGCTATGCAATAAAAATTTTTTAAGTGAGCCTTTACTTCAGGATTTATCATGCTTGAAGGTTTCTGATTTATTTATGACAGAGTATAGTTAGTGTTTGAAGCAATGTTGTTTTAAATATGCAAGGGGATGATGAAGTATTTCTCATTAGCAAAGGAGGTAAGATAAGTGATTATAGGTTCTGAAGAGAATGTGCACTTTCTTTTCTTTTTTTTTTCTTTTTGTACTTTCCTTTCTCACTTTCTTGACATTTACCTTCTTGTCTGGTGCATCATTGCAACTTGCAGACGGTGCGCATTCTCTGGCCTTCTGAAGAATTTTTCCTGGCAATTTTTCTAGGTGCTACTAGCTGTTTGTTTGTTTCACTTCCTCATCAACTTGTTTCTGAACTTTTGGCTACACGAGCAAAGCTGAGAAATCCTTCCCAGAGCATGTGAACTCTGTGTTGGTAAGAATGATGTGTCTTTGTACTAAGATCGTCCTTTCCCCCTTTTGTCCAGGATACTGTTTAAGAAGGTGAAGGCTCTGCTAGGAGGGAATGTCCGTATGATGCTGTCGGGTGGAGCCCCCCTGTCTCCACAGACACACCGATTCATGAATGTCTGCTTCTGCTGCCCTGTGGGCCAGGGCTATGGACTGACAGAATCATGTGGTGCTGGGACCGTTACCGAAGGTATGCATTTTTCAAGTGGCAAATCATTCTTCATTAATGGCAGTGATTCAAGTCCATTTGCCTGACCTTTGGCAAACTATATAGGAGCCCTAGTGGCACAGTGGTTTAGTGCCAGGCTGCGATCTGCAAGGTAAGCAGTTTGAATCCGCCAGCCACTCCATGGGAGAAAGATGAAGATTTCTACTCCTGCAGAGTTATAGCCTCAGAAACCCACAGCAGCAGTTCTACTCTGTCCTACTGGGTCACCTTGAGTCGGAATCTACTCGATGGCAGTGAGTTTGGTTTGGGGTTTTGTCAAACCATAGTCATTTGGTATGCAGCATCAGAAGTAAGACATGCAAACCTACATAATTTTCATTTTATAGAATTTAAATGAGTATCACCCATGCTTCGTAATTGCCTATATCGCAATGCCAGCCCTCAAAATCCTGTCTCCTTCACTGTGCGGAAAGTGTGTCTGGTCTGCCTCATGCACAATGGGGTGAAACGCAAAAGGAGTGCGACAGGGCAGCGAGGGGAGCAAAGTAGCCAAGTCCCTGAGGAATCCTGAAAATAGACTTCTGACTCGGGGGACAGGGCTGGGCACCTTATCTGACCTGATTGGAAAACAATCATAAAGGTCATCAGACAGACCTGGAACTGTCTTTCAGGGTTTTTTTGTTTGTTTTTCCTTTTTCCCTATGTGTATCTATATAAGATCGGCAGAACATACAATCAATCCCAAGGAGAAAACAAAACGACTAGTGTTCCCTGAGGGACATGGGAGAGGACAGGGCGTGGAGGGGGAGCAGGGAGCCAGTAAACTCAGGGATGAGGAAAATCAAGAGATCTGAAAATGATGACAAGGAGGCCTGGTGGTGTTTGATCAAGTGCAGTGTATTCCAGAGGAATTACTGAGAGCCAAGTGGAAGGTGAGCATGACAGTGGGACAGGAGGAAGATGAAAGGAGATAGAGGAAAGAAGTAGGAAGCAAAAGCTATTTATAGAGGTAGAGCTATAGACATGTATGTATGTAAATATATTATAATTAAAGGGATAGAGGCCAATGTACATATATTTATATGCTAAGTATGAAGATAACAGATGGACTTTGGGCCTCTCCTCAAGGCCTCCCTAAACATAAGAACACTTTATTCTAATAACCTGGCGTTCTTTGATACCTTCCCAACATGATCACCGAAGAAAAAATGGGTGCATAAGAAATGTGGTGAAGAAAATGGATGGTGCCTGGCTATCAAAAGATAGGTCTTAAAGGCTTGAGATTAAATAAGCAGCCCTTTTGCAGGGAAGCAAGTAATTCCACTAGGAAGAAGCACACGAGCCTGTGTGATCATGAGGTGTTGATGGTATCAGGCATAAGGTATCAATAGATCCAAAACAAACAATTCTGTTGATGTGAGTGAGAGGGGTTGGAGTGGAGACCCAAAGCCCATCTGTAGACAATTTAACATCCCCCACAGAAGGGTTACAAGGCAGGGATCATTCAACCTGGGTACAGTATAGCACCGACAAAATGCACATCATTCCTCTAGTTCCTGAATGCTCTCTCCCCCCACCCCCACCCCACTACCATGACCTAATTCTAGCTTACAAATTGGGCTAGACTGGAGTACACACATTGGTACAGGTAAGATCTCTTAACACATGGAATTCAAGACAGATAAAACCCTCAGGAAGAGTAGTGGGAGTAGTGATATCATGAGGGAAGGGGGATGGTAGGTGTGGAGGGGGGGGAGGGTAAACCCATCACAAGGTTGGATATATAGCCCACCCCCTAGTGCGACAAATAATAGAAATGAGGGTGAAGGGAGACAGCGGACAGTGTAAGACACGAAATAACAATAACATATAATTGATGATTGGATTCAGAAGGGTGGGAAGGTGGAGCAGGGAGGGAAAAAAGAGGAGCTGACACCAAGGGCTCAAGTAGAAAGAAAATGTTTTGGAAATGTTGATGGAAACATGGACAAGTGTGCTTAATACAATTGAATGATGGATTGTCATAAGATGACAATGAAATGCTAAATTAAAAAACCTTCCTTGGAAAACTGGGCTTCTAGGATCAAGTTAGCACTTTTATGCTACCTCTGACTCTGCTTCTTTTTTTCTTTCTCTTTCACCTTTTACTTTTAATGATCTTATAACAGGATTTATGATATGATCTGATGCCATTCTTGCAGAGCAGTTAGTAGTGGAGCCCTGCTGATGTCGTAGGTCATGCGTTGGGTTGCTAACCATTGGCCACTCTGAAGGAGAAAGGCGAGACTTTCCATTCTTTTAAAGGGTTACAGCCTTTAAAACCCAGAGGGACAGGTGGAATTGAGTAGATGGCAGTGAGATTTCTTTTCTTGTCATTGTTTGGGTTTTGGTTTAGGTAGTGGTAGACAGCCACTATCTAGTTTGGGTCTCCGGGTGGTACAGATTGGTGTTTCTGTGGTCCATAATGGCAGCCTTGAAATTTTGAACCAGATAATTCTTTGTTGATGGGGAAAACCTCCTCTGTATTGTAGGATGTGTGGCATCCAGATGCCAATTAAGAGAATGAAACACATCGCCAAATATTACCACCCTAGAATGAGAACCAAACAAAAAATGTATTTTAATTATACTACATTCAGCTAAAAGTCATTATGTCTAAAATCAGTGTCAACATACCAGCACTAAAGGCATTCAGGGTATTAGCTTTTGAAGTCATCCCTTGAACTTTCATCAAGTCTTGCCATTTCCTTGGTAGGTTGTGCCTTTCCCTCCTCCTTTTATTACCTCACACTTATCTGTGTCTGTCTGTCCTTTTGAATTCCTCGTGCATGCCTTCTGTTCAGTGCACTGGCTCAAACCCTGCTTGGTACTTGGTGTGTCAAATTTAAGCTAGTTTACACTAGCTTTTCAGACCTGTCTAGTCTGGCACTGTTGCCCCTATTCATCATTATTTTCCATTATTTTATACAAGTAATTGGGCCTAAGTGATATAGCCAGTAAGTGATGGGGTAGCTGGAATACACAAACACAGACATGGGCTCCCCAACGTTTGTGGAACACGTCCATTCTCATTTCGTTTTCCCATGAACTGTTCGAAGCCCTCTGGAACATCCTTTCTAAACAAGTCAGTCTTTCCACTCTGCCATAGGCAGGCCTTCTTGGGCTCACCAATCAGCATCTGTTTTTCCCTTCCCATGGAAGACCCTCCTTGCTAATTGGTCATGACCATTCTTTCAGGCCCTACTCCTCAATAGAATCTTTGCCAACTATTCTTTACATAGCTTTTCCTGGCCTCTGAGATACCGGGGAATTTATCGTATTCAGGGAGTTTAGTATTTAAGTGTTCTCTAAATAGTTTTCATGTGCATTTCTTTTAGGGACCGTTTGTAAGCTCATTTAATCGAGTGTTAAGCTTCTGATAAATACTTGGTTAGTGATGGAAACAGGTACTTTCGGAATGGACACTATCGTGTGTGACGATGGCAACTAGCATTGCTTGAACACTCGGTTTGGGCCAGCGCCTGCTAAGCCCTGTGTGTTGTCTCATTTGACCCTTCCAGAATATGCTTATATGAAGTGGGTTATCTCATGTTTCCCATTTAGTGCCTGAGGACACAGAGGCTCAGGTTAAGTAACTGGGCCTAAGTGCTATAGCCAGTAAGTGGTGTCAGAGCAAATTCTAGTCACAGTTTATCAGAGCAGAAAACTAGGTAGATGGTCATGGAGATTTTTGACAAGAGATTTTTTTTTGTACTGCATTATCAAACATAGAATCACGAGAAGCAAGCATGGTGCAACAGCATTGCAACCAGTTACACTGTTGAAATGTGGAAGAATGATGACACTTCATATCCCTCTCACGACCCCCTGTCACCCTATGGACTCCGGCTCTCACTGTAATAGTCTTGGTCTTGCGATCTGAAATGTGGCATGCTAATATCTTCATTTCCTTTTCCCTCGTAGTTTCCGACTATACTACTGGCCGAGTTGGAGCTCCTCTTATTTGCTGTGAAATTAAGCTCAAAGACTGGCAAGAAGGTAAGCCCCAATCTGGTGAAGCTAGGTACACTGAAAACCACCTTGATTGCCTCGGGCTGTTTGCCTTCTTGAAAATGCTAGGCTGTCTGAAGTGCAAATGATTTTACCTGAAGTGCAGATGTGCCACTGCCTGTTTCTTGGGCTTGCTTTTTCCTCCCTGAGCAAAACTCTGCCTGTAGGTTAAGTGAGAAGAAAGGACACTCAGACCCCAGGCATGATGGATCTGAACTTGGAAATACTTGGTAAAGAGGAGAAACCTTCCTTAGTGGCCTTTCCCTGGGTTTGAAGGACATGAGAAGATGGGGTTTCTCTCTGTTGAAGCTCATGATGATGTTTGGGCTGGGAAATGAACCCCCAGATTTTCGGGGGATTGGTTTTACCCGCCCCCCCCCCGAGACTTTTTAGATCTTGATCCCCACAAGTGCTTTCAGAGTTGAAGCTCAACCGTGCAGCTATTTAAATAATTGACACTCTTCTTTTCTTTGGGTATTATGGTGGATATCTATGTATAAATCAGTAGCTTTTGATATTTGACTGCAGAGATGCTCCCATCAGAGAAAACCTGCATTTTACATTGAAATTGGTGGTGGTAATCGCCCCTTTTACAAATCAGCTGACGGAAACCTAAACCAGTCTTCTTATAATGAACTTATGAAAGACACTAAGTAAATACATTTGCTGCAATCAAATGGATTGCTAAGCCAACAAATCATGAACAGCCTACTCATGCAGTATAATGGAGGAGTAGGTAAAAAGCTGAACATTATCAGAAAGAAAAGGATCCCATTTAGAAGGTCCTAGCCAGAGTTCACCATTTAAGATCCAAAGGGCAGCATTGACCCAAAGAGGAGGTTCAGAGAGCGAGGAAAGGAGGAGGGAGGGGAAGAGGCAACCCAGGGAGGAGGCAGTGGGGGATAATGGGTTGCAATGGATGAGTTGGAACACAATGTGTAGTAATTGCTCTGGAAACCTTCATCTCATTCGCAATAAAACCTTGATGTAAAACATGCACCCAATTCACTATAAAAAAGTTGGGGTGAGGAAAAGGATTTAACCTTGGGGGATGTTCAAACATCAAGCAAATGGAGTTCAGCTGACTTTAAACTTTTTAAGTTGCTAAGATTACTGTCTCTACGAGCCAATACAGTGTCCCTTTAAATCACATTTAAAGGCCAGTTGCATTCCTGAGAGTTTTATACCATGGGACTAACTCTTTCTCCTCCTCCTCCTTTCTTCCACGGTGCTCCCTTTTTAATTTTAAAAAGAACATTGAAAGAAGATATGGCAGATTTCTGTAGATGGTGAGCCCACATCAGAACTGTTTTGTATATGGGCTATTGGTTAATATGAGAGAATGTTTATAGTAAAAATCAGATAAGGAGAAGTCTGGTGCCGGGCTGTAAGATTCATTTAGGGAGAGTGGGTCCATTTAGGACATAGATTTGGCCTTTTGTGCTATGAAAGATCACTTGCTGTAAACAGTAGGATGATCTGAATCCTTTACATACAGTGGGTTTGTGATATTGAAACGTTGACTAGTTTTACAATACACAAACGCGCCTGACAGCTGGAAGGGTCTCAGCTTTTTTTTTAAATCAATTTATTGGGGCTCATAAAATTCATCACAATACATAGATCAATTGTGTAAAACACATCTATACATTTGTTGCCCTCATCATTCCCAAAATTCGCTTGCCTCTTGGGTTCCCGGGGACTCAGCTTTTAACAAGCATTTTTATGATGCAAGATCAAATTCATCTCTCAATCTGTAAATTCACATGTCTGTATTTTCTGTAACGTAAACTTTACTCATTAATGAGGTAATGATGAAATACTTTATTAGTTATTGTCAATGAGTTCAGTGTTTTAAGGTCCTGCCAGGTTAGAAACAGCACCTGAAATATAAAATGGTCTTTTTGTGATACCTAGTCATTTTTTTCCTCTCCCGTAATGGTATTGCCTTCTTCCAGCATATACTTCTGGAAATAATCTGAAATGCGTTGCTATCAAACTTTTGGTGACTTAACTTATAACTTTCAAGTATTACCTTTGTTGGGGGTGATTTTATTTCAACAAAAAGAACAACATCCCCCCTCCCCAAGTTCACTGCCATGGAGTCAATGCTGACTCATAGTGTCCCAATAGGACAGGAACTGCCCTTGCGAGTTTCTGAGACTGTAACTCTTTGTGGAATTAGAAAACCTGTCTTTCTCGCATGGAGCAGCTGGTAGTTTCAAACTGCACACCTTGCAGTTAGCAGCCCAATGTGTAACCACTCCGCCAACTGTTATCTAAAGCCCTACACTTGGGAAAGTGTGGCTTTTGTTTCTAAGCCTCACGGTCAGGGGCAGGTTAGATATAGGTGGTTGGTGGTGGTGATGATTGCTGGACTTACCCAGGTGCTCTTGAAATAACACTAAACAAGCAGCCAGCCACGTGCCACTCTTACAGCAATCTGGGTTAGTATAAGCCAGTATTCTCACCTGAAGTGACGTAAGAATTGACCAGCAGAAAGCTAGTTGCCGGGAGGTGTTAAGAAGTCATGAAAGGCGAGTTTGTTTTCAAACCCCACGTGGTTTACTCTTATGATCTCCAGGCGGTTATACAATTCACGACAAGCCAAACCCCAGAGGAGAAATTGTCATTGGCGGACAGAATATCTCCATGGGATATTTTAAAAACGAAGAGAAAACAGCAGAGGACTATTCTGTGGATGAAAATGGACAAAGGTGGTTTTGCACTGGTGATATTGGCGAGTTTCATCCTGATGGATGCTTACAGATTATTGGTCAGTACATTCTGTGTGTGTGTGTGCGCGCGTGCCCGTTCACTTTTTTGTAACTTCAACATATAAAGGGGCTTTAGGAAGTATGTGGAACAAGCTCATTGAATGGTAATGAGGATTTAATGAGTGTAGGATTTTCCCACACACTTTTTGGAGCCTCTTCATATACGAGAATGCAAGATAACATCGGTCAAGCCATAAATAAGGTAGATGGTTCATGGGTTCAAACTTTGGGCAAGTTGTTAAACTTAGAGCTTAGATTTGTCATCTGTAAAACCCAGACAACAATCCCAACTTCATAAAGTTCTTGTGAGAATTAAATGAGTCGAGATATCTAAAATGGTCAAACCGGTCCCCACACCTTAGTACGTAGCAGCAGCTGCATGGGAAGCAGCAGTGGGCTTCCGAGAGTGGGCAAGCTGGCCATGAGGACAGGAAAAGGGCTCAGAGACGTCTTTTCCAGAACCACGTCCAATGGCAAGTGGCTCTGTAGAATCTTGTATTAAGAAACGCTGCCACAGCCCTTCCCCAGGCTCCTCATGGTACTCTTGTCTCCCACAACCCCTTAAAGGTCATTTGTACTTTCCCAGCTAGGGGCATCTTTTGATCTCGTGGCCGTTTGTGTGGCTTCCCCGAGACTTGACCATTCATTAGAAAAGGATGATGTCAACCTGCATCCCTACTCTGATTTTCTGAGAATGTCAGTGGCTTTCTATCACACTTAACTAAAATCTACTTCTAACACCACCACCCCAAGCAAGTCCCAAACGAGCCCTTAATGCAGTTCACTTTAGCAACTCAGACAAGTCCTGTTTTCAGCTATCCTGTCTCTTAGTGGTCCATTTAAATTTGGTGCTAAAACCCAAACCAAACCCACGATCGTGGCATCGATTCTGATATAGTGACCCTAACGGAGAGAGCATCCTCACCCCCTATGGTTGTCAATCTTTATGCAGACAGGCTGTCACATCTTGCTTCTGTGACGTGGTAGGTTCATTTGAATGCAGACCTTTTTCTGGTTCACAGCTGAGCACGTAACCACTGTATCACCAGAGCTTGTTAGGGTATATCATTGTAGCCAGTACGTCTTTCACTAGGTATTTACTGTTTTGTTTGAGCAAGCATTATATACAACAAGATTGCAAAAGAAGTGCCTTTGCCCAAGCTTACTGGTTTGATGCTGATGGCGGAACCCCCTGAGACTATGTCCAACAGACACTCCTCGAGCCTGGAATTGAACTCCCAACCTCAACCCCCTTCTCCTGCCCCAGTCGGCTCAACTTTCAGGCAAACAAAAGACTGCTCTATAAAGTGAATAATAATATCAGAGAGGAACAAACAACCGTACATGATCAAGATGGCAGCATTTGCCCAACCACAAAGCTGAGAAGGCAGGAAGAGATAGGAAAGAAGGGAGGGAGCAAGATCCATGCCTGTAGTTAAACATCGAGAATTGCACCCAATGACACGAACCAAAATGTGTATAAATTGTCAAATGGAAAACTAACTTGCTTTTTAAACTTTTCCCCCCAGACTACAATTAAAAACTTAAATTAAAAGGAGTATCTTTGTCAATAAAGGCAAAATAGTGCAAAGGAAATCAGAATTGTACGCAAAGGGACTTCAGAAAGTTTGTGGGAGAATTCATTGTTTTTATCTTCACTTTTTCACAAACTTTTTGAAGCCCCCTCATACACATTCTTAATGCAACAGACTTATGGCTAACAGTGTTCTTTCATGATTTATAGATCGTAAGAAAGATCTGGTGAAGTTACAAGCAGGAGAATATGTATCTCTTGGGAAAGTAGAGGCCGCATTGAAGAACTGTCCACTTATTGACAATATCTGTGCTTTTGCCAAAAGGTAACATTCAAAAATTGCACGTTATGCTTCATATGCTTATGGTAAACGGTAGAAAAAGTTTCCTATATACTCGAGTATAAGCCGACCCGAATATCAGCCGAGGTACCTAATTTTACCACAAAAACTGCATTAAAAAATGTGCTGAAAAAACTCGGCTTATATATGAGTATATATGGTATATGTGATCTCTAGGCCAACATCAGACCTCTTAGAAATTTCATTAGAATTGGGAAATAATGTTACACATGAAAGTTCTTAATTTCAACATCATTTGAGATCATTTAGAAGATTTAACATTTTATTGGACAGCTAGTATGTTTTGCTAAGTACTTAGCTGCTTATTGTGTGTATTTGGGCGATTTGGGTTCATAGCAACCTATATGCCAAAGTACACTTGCCCCATAGAGTTTTTTAGCCTGTCATCTTTGTGGGAATAGATCACTGCTGACCTTTTTTGGTTAGTGGTCAACTGATTCACCTTTGCTCCACCAGGACACTTTATTTATTTATTTTTGTTGTGGTGGTGGTTGTTTTTTAAATCATTTTATTGGGGGCTAATACAGCTCATCACAATCCATACATACATCAATTGCATAAAGCACATTTGTACATTCATTACCCTCATCATTCTCAAAACATTTGCTTTGTGCTTGAGCCCTTCGTATCAGCTCCTCATTTTCCCCCTCCCTCCCCGCTCCCCCTTCCCTCATGAACCCTCGATAATTTATAAATTATTATTTTGTCATATCTTACATTGTCCGACGTCTCCCTTCACCCACTTCTCTGTTGTCCGTCCCCCAGGGAGGAGGTTATATGTAGATCCTTATAATTGGTTACCCCTTTCTACCCGACCTTCCCTCCACCCTCCCACCAGGACTCTTTTAAATACTTTGTTATGCTACAAAAATAATTTTCCCAAGAAGGTAACACAATCAGATGAATTTGGAACTCATCTTTTCTAAAGCAAGGGCCTGAGAGCTACATCTGTAGTCTTCATATATACATCAATATAGTTTGCTTTTAATGGGCTTTATGAATTTTTAATGAAAACTTTAGCAAATAAGAGAAATATATATTTGGGATTATCTGTCCAGTAATATTTTCAATAAGTAATTATGAGTAATTGTTTTCCCCGTTTCTTTTTCTTTCTTTTCCCCCCTCCAATTTTCAGTGACCAGTCCTATGTGATCAGCTTTGTGGTTCCGAATCAGAAAAGGTTGACCCTTGTAGCACAACAGAAAGGAGTAGAAGGCTCTTGGACTGATATCTGCAATAACCCTGCCATGGAAGCTGAAATACTGAAGGAAATCCGAGAAGCTGCAAATACCAGTAAGTCAGAAAGTACTGCTCTGTTGAAGTCCTAAAAGTCGTTCCATGATGGCTTGTGCATTAGGCTCATCAAGATGTTTGTTCAGTTGGTCATTTTAATAGTAATATAAATTCACTGCCATCGAGTTGATTCTGACTCATAACATACAAGGTTTAAAAATAGATGTGTTCTATATACTGTCTAGTTACCTAATATAGATCAGATGTTTCCATGTTGAGGAGCCCTGGTGGCCTTGTGGTTTTGAGTTAGGCTGAGAATAGACTTTATACCTCCCAAAGTCTTTATGAAAGTCTATCTTCTAATTAACAACTAGTAACGCTAAGAAATTGTGTCATAACTCTAATTATACTTTGTGTATGTTCATTGGAAGGAGCCCTTTTGGTGGAAGAGTGGTTAAATTCTCAGCTGCTAACCAAAAGGCAAGCCACTCTAGGGGGGAAAATGAGGCAGTCTGCTGTTGTAAGGATGTACAGCCTTTTGGTCAGTCTACCCTGTCCCATAAGGGGTTCTATGAGTCAGAATCAACCCGAAGGAAACCGTATATACATTAGCTCTGCAAATGGACTGTCTCAGATGGTGAGTTAGGTCAGCCCGTGGGAGGTCTGAATATACTGTGACCATGCAGGATATTACCCAAAGTACTCCCACTGCCATCCAGTGCACTGCAACGCAGAGTGACACTTGATAGGGTTTCTGAGACCGTAAGCCTTTATGAGTATACAGCCCCATCTTTCACCCCTGGAGAAGCTGTAAGAAGCTGGCAGGGTTGGACTATGATACATGTGCACTTTGTGTTGTTGTTGTTTTTAAATCGGGTGGTCCCACAAGCGTTACAGCAAGCAGCAGCCCATGAGGCTCTGCACATCCCTAGAATTGTTCTTACGTTGGTTAGAGCCCATTGTCGCAGTCACTGGCAAGCCATCTCGTCAAGGGTCTTCCTTTTTGCTGCCTCTCCACTTTACCAAGCATGATGGCCAGTCCCTCCTGAGAATCAAGTACAAAGGATGTGAGACGAAGCCTCTCCATCCCGTCCTCTAAGGCACATTCTGGTTGTACTTCTTCCAAGACAAATCGGTTTGTTCTTTTGGCAGTCCATGGTAATTTAAATATTCTTCTCCAACACTATAATTCAAATGCATCACTTCTTCTTTGGTCTTACTTACTTAATGTCCAACTTTCAACTACATATGAGGTGGCTGAAAATATCATGGCTTGGGTCAGGCGCACCTTAATCTTCAAAGTAACAGAAGCTGTGGGCTGTTAACCACAAAGTCAGCAGTTTGAAACCACTAGCTAAGCCTCCGCTAGGGAGAAAGACGAGGCTTTCTACTCCCATAAAGAGTTACAGTCTTAGAAATCCCCAGAGGCAGTTCTGCCCTGTCCTGTAGGGTCGCTATGAGTTGGAATTTACTTCATGGCAGTAATCTTTGTGAGTGAATTCTACCATTAACATCACACAGAGAATAAGCATTAGGTATAGGTAATAAATATCCTAAGAAGGTAAGGTAAAAATTGCTTGTGAGTGGTTTGAACTACCAGTGGCTACAAACATCAGCGTTTGCTGCCACCTACAGGTCACATTTTGTAATGTTTTACTTAATTCAGACAAAAAATGAAATCCTTTGGTGGGGGATTTCTGCTCTCATTTTGGGGACAGTTAATCTGTTTCCTGGAACAGTATAATTGCCTATTGCTCTATACCATGTGGTAATGCTTTGGGAAAACCCTAAAGTAGTCTTCTGTTTCCCCTTCCTTTGAACAAGAATGTAGTCAATAAAGATTAAACATAGGAGTTTTTACAGATCTACTTTCATTGATGTGTGAAATTGATCTATTGTCCCTGCCTTGTCCCAATTTTTTTTTGTCCCAATGTTAAAGAAGCCCTGCTGACACTGTCGGGTAAGTGGTGGGCGACTAACCACAAGGTCAGCAGTTTAAACCTACCAGCTGTTGTGTAGGGCAAGCGGAGGTTTTCTGCTTAGAGGCAGAGTAGACTTGAGGGCAGTGGATCTGGGTTCTGGCATGCCAGATTTGCCAGTGTTCCTGTAGTAGACCCTGCAGAAGTAAAAAAAATACACGGGAAAAAGAAAGGTTTGGAGCCAAATCTGTAAATAAGTATTCCGCTATTACCTTGAGAGTAACATTCAATCACGGGAAGGAAAAAAACAGCAACTAGTAACTCAGTTGCCCTAAAGCTTATCTGCTTCATGGAAACCTCATGGTTGCAGACGGGCACATCTTAGAGCCCTCTGGAGAGCTGAGCTGAGTGGCTTGGTGGCTTTCTACTCCCCCCCTCAAAAGTTCGTCTCGGGAAGGCACCGAGGCACTTCTGCTCTGCCCTATCGGGGCACCATGGGTAAGCATCGACTCAATGGCAGTGTGCAAACCTGAGGTTAGAGATCGTTTTAAAACACAAACAAAATCCACACCAGCTGAGTAGCATTGAGTCTGACTCAGGATTGAGTACAGCTGTCCCCATAGGCTTTCCCAAGCTGCTCCATCATTATCCCTTGGAGCTGTTGGGGGTGGGTTGCGGGAGAGGAGCTAATTCAAACTGCTAGCAGTCATGCACTTAACCGCTGCCCCATCACAGCTCTTGTGAAGTGGTTAGAAATGGTTAATGTGACCACGTTTTATATTCCTTTCATACATTTAAAGGACTTTTTGGGGAAGTTAGTTCTAAGTAATACTTGAAAGATTTTTTTTTCACAGTGAAATGTTCCTATAATTTTCAGGAGAAACTCGCAGATCAAAGCACATTTCCCTTTAAAAAAATGCCAGCTACTCTTTTAAGGAGTTCCATGAGTTTGAGTTCTTCATGCTTGTCCCTGAAGCCAAACAGGTTCTAATATTCCCTCGGCTATTTAGTGGAAGTTTTCGAACTGGCAGCTATATGCTCCTCTGCACTTCCTTGTTTTCCACAGACATGTATAAAATGAGGCTCATCTACCGGTCACCGTCACTGTTAACGTGTGAAGTGTGGTTCCCAAGCTGTCGTTCACGGGGGAACTAGCAAGCCCCAAACCCATGTGGTTTGTTAGTGCCCAGAGACAAGCTGCGCTCACCCACACGCACAAGATGGCAAAGAATTAAGCCACCGTTTTATTAAAGCATAGAGTCACTTCAAAATCAGTGAAGCGGTTCCCCTTGAGATACGCTTCACTCTGAAAACGCTGGAGAGTTAAAATAAGGACATTGGCTAGGGGAGCCCTTCTAGGTTTCCCATGGCACTTTCAAAGGGGAGGGGGCTCCCGCTCTGCAGATGGTCAAGCAACTTTCTAATTAGTTACTCGGTCTGTCCTCCTTTCAGTTTATCTGGGCTGCTGCTCTGGGTCAGCATGTCCCAGAATCTTTCAAGATTATCTCCAAATATAGTAGAACCCCGGACCTTGATGCTAATCCATTCTAGAAGGAGCATCGAGATGCAATTCAGTCAAGTTCCCAATCAATTTTTCCCATAAGAAATAGCTGAAAATGGATTAATCTGTTCTCAGCCACCAAGTTTTTACCCTAACCTTGCCTTTTTATACAAAACATTACACAGAAATTTCAAAGTAAATGAGTTCGGAGTAAAATAATATAATTTTAATAAGAAACACAACATTAAAAAAGTTGATAACAACTACAGTATGGCCCATACCTTGAGACTGATGAGGATCAGGATCTGTGGACACGGATGCGGAGAGGAGGGATGGAGAGAGAGTCATTGTCTAGAAGGGGATCCCCTTCCAGAAAATCAACCGGCAGCCGCTTTTCAGGAGTTTTTTCTTTAATTTTCTTTGCCATTTTTCACTAGGAGCTGGCTGGATTTCTCTGAAGCAAAAAAATCTGTCTAATGTGGTCTGCTGTTGGTGTTTCCTTAACTGTTTTCTAAAAGGGTTTACTAAATTATCAGCAATATTGCTAACATGCTTAACCAATTCCTTATCATGATGACTCTTTTCAAAATACTCTTCCTTGGGGCCCATGTTTTCTTATCTAAAAACAGTACAAAAAGCCACAAAAACTAAGAAAATTATAGCGAAACACTAGAAACCCAGCCACAAAAGGCTTAAATAATGTGCACTAACAATGCCAACTAACGCCAAGTGACAGAAACACAAACTGCTTTTGCTCCGATGTTTAGCTTGATTCAACATTTCACGTTGAAATCCGATTATGTTGAGTCCTGATGCGGTCAAGTACCAGGGCTCTACTGTATGAGCCTGGCTTCCAGGGTAAGGTGTTTGCAAAGTCAATTCTCAGCAAGTCCTTTGTTCATAACTATGTCACGGGGTCTTTTGTTCCTTCCCCCAGCAGGCAGGGCAGAAGCCCGTCTGTCCCTGTGAAAAGACCTTCAGAATTTTCAGGATTGGACTGGTACCAAATAATTGATGACCAGGAAGATCTTTGAATGAATTGAAAATACTGACTGGTTCTCTGCTCATATTTTCTTACATTATCCAGCATCAGTACAACATGCACTGACTGCATTAGTTCAGAAATGCACAACCGCTTTTCTGATCTCTATGTGATGTGTATAATGAAAGCTTAGGAAGAGCATGTCTAGAGGTTTACTCTATAGAATGAATTAAGAAATGCCTATGTATTTATTGGAGGTGGCAGTGAACAATTCAGGATGGCTTTCATGGGACTTCCATTCTATTCAAAAGTGGAAGCCCAAACCCACTGCCATTGAGTCATTTCCAACTCCTTAGCGACTATACATCTGTATAGAAGCAGCCTCATCTGTCTCCCTCGGAGCAGTTGATGGGCTGGAATCACCAACCCTGCGGTTAGCAGTCCAACACATAACCCACAGCACCATGGGGGCTCTTTTTGCATCCTGTTAGGTAAATTCAATATACTGGGGGGTGACAAGTACTTAGGAAGAACATTCTGTGCCAGAGGCTTTAGAGAGACCAAGGGGCCAGTGGTGGGGTGGGGTGGGGGTCGGGATGGGGATGGGGGTGGGGTTCTGTTTTGTGAAGTGTGGTCAGGAACATTCTGGATGAAGTTAGGGAGTGAGCCATGCAACCATAGGGGTGGGGGGGTGGTTAAGTCGAGGAGCCCTGGGGGTATGCTTTGGACTGCAATCCACTGAAACATGCAGCTCTGTGGGAGAAAGGCTGGGCTTTCTACTCTTACAAATAGTCTTATTCTTGGAAAAGGGGTGGGGTGGGGGACGTGGTGGCTATGAATCAGCATTGACTTGAAGGCAGTGCGTTTTCTTCTAGAATTTATTTATCTATTAGGTGTGACAGAGTGGGTTCGCCTTGGGCTGCTCATCGCAAGGTAAGCAGTTCGAAACCACCAGCTACTCCAAGGGAGAAAGATGAAGGTTTCTACCTCTGTACAACCCTTTAGGGTCAGTATGCGTCCGAATCAACCCAATGACAGGGAGGGTTTTGTTTGTTTGATTGATTTTGGTGCTACAGTGGTTAAGCGCTTGGCTACTAACCACAAGAAAGGTTGACTGTTCGAATCCACCCAGTTGTTGTGTGGGAGAAAGACTTGGTAAGCTACTTCAGTGAAGTCTGTAAAAACCCCTCACTGTTATTGGGCCTCTTGCGACTCACAGCAACCCTGTAGGGCAGGGTAGAACTGCTCTTGTGCGCTTCTGACACTGTAACTTTACAGGAGTTGAAAACCTCGTCTTTCTCCCAAGGAGTGGCTGGTGGTTTCGAACTGCTGACCTTGCACTAGGCAAGCAGCCCAAGGCGTCATCACTACACCTCGGGATCCTATAAAGACTATAACCTAGAAAACACTCTGGGGTAGTTTTACTCTATCACACAAGGTCACGATCAGTTGGAGTTGACATGATAGCTCTTAACAACCGCCAGATCCAGATCTATATATTCAAATAAAATCCACATAGATCAGCAGTCCATCCAACGAAGACAGTGTCTATTAACTTTGGAGAAATTGAAAACAAAATTGTACTAAGGTAGTGTGTTATTATTCATAAACTGTTTAATAAGACTGCCTGGTCACCTGTATCATCGTGTTTAATTTATTCATTGCTTTTCATTTTCTTCCTACTTCCCAATTCTACTTCAGTGAAATTGGAGCGGTTTGAAATTCCTATCAAGGTTTGCTTGAGCCCAGAACCCTGGACCCCGGAAACTGGCTTGGTAACTGATGCTTTTAAGCTGAAAAGGAAGGAACTGAAGAACCATTACCTCAAGGATATCGAGCGAATGTATGGAGGCAAATGAAATGCAACTCTGTAGTAATGCCGTTAAGCAGGAGGTGGCCTGGTGGTTTCTCAATCCTAGTGTGTTAAGCCTTTGTTGAGCTGTCTGTTAGAAGTAGGCCTGTCATTCTAAAAATACAAGAATTAAAAAAAAACACACCCGATTAACATAGTCGTTGAGTCTGACTTAGATGTGCGTAGTTCTAGTGGCACTGTAACTGAAAAGTCATTTCCCTTCAGCCGTGCTCCGAATTTTAGAACCAACAATTCTGTTTTGAAAATGGAGCCCACGGTGTCATTGTTTTCTGAAAGGAACATGTTTGATGTTGAGTCAAAGAGGAGTTGAAGTGTTGTTTGATGAAATGGGCAGCTTGCAATGTCTGTCGTCTTTCTAGTTCAGAAGAAGGTGAACTATTAAGCATCACACACACAACTATGTATTAACACTACTCAAAGCAGGAGTGTGCTGCAGGGCTTTAAAATCCTCTTCGAACTATTTCTCGATTGTATTGTAAACTGCAAAATCAAAGACTATCATGGAAACCATTTGATGATTTATAATGGTTAATATAGATTAGACATAGCGTCATTGTAATGTTGTGAATAATTTCAGTGCATAAAATAAGAATAAAACAGCATACACACACCAAATAATATTTAATGATCTATTTACAAGAAAGTCCTTTCTTTTTTTAATGTCAAAAATTGCCACTGGAAATGTTGTGAAAAGCGATGGACTCTTACTGCAAGGCCCTGAACTTGAGAAAGCAACTTCCACGCTGAACATGTCATAGGAATCAGGGATTGTTTTTTTGATGCGCTTGCATTAAATCACAGGTATGATTTGAGGTCTCCTTGCTGTTGCTGCTTTGATTCTTGAACAGAAGGCTACGGTTTCAGAACGCCTTTTCTTTTGCTTCCACTTTAGCTATGCCGGTTCTCAATGACTTCCCCTGTTATCTTGTTTGAACCTGTGAGTGAGGAATGATCTTGAGTGACTTTGGGGAAGGTCCAGGGCAAATACCAGTGTTCCCTTCCCCCCCGCCCCCTCCCATTTAAGAAGCATGTAGAAACTGGAAATGTTAGATGTGGGAGAAAGGGATGAGTTTACTTGATAAGCGACTGCTATTTGTGCAGTAACTTGGGAGTGAGGATTGCTTTTTGAATCTTGAATTAAAGTCTGGGATTATAGGTCCCTGATGGATATTCACGCTCGAAGCGCACAGTTACTGTCAACAGCAAAAATCCTTAATACTGCCATTCTTTGCACTTTTTTTCTTAATCATTATATATATATATATGCATATATATATATGTTGCTTACATTGCTTTGTACAGATTTGGGCCACCACTGCAATGAAATACAAATTCTTTTTGCTCTAAAATATTTATAAGAATATTTAAGTGTTATGTATATGGCGGTAAAAAGGGGGGGAAATCACCTGGTCTTATTTTAAACAAGAATAAAGGGTTGTTTGTGTGTGTGTGTATGTGTGTCAAGATTTCTGTTCATTGTTCTGCAGTGTAAAATGCTAGGCAAGTAGTCACTGAAGTGGCAATTATTCACTGCACTTGACTTTGAGGATTGAAAAATCATTATTATCAAAATAGACTACTCTTGAGCTTCTACCATTCTTGGCCCACTGTTTGTTAATCCTTGAAGAATGGGGGTTTTTTGGTGTTGTTTTCAGATTTTCCCCCCCTGTATGGGATTCCCCCTCATTTGGAATGGTGATATTCAATGCTGGAATGCATGCATTCGTACCTTATCTCAGATGTTTGCATCTCTATCCCCACCCCCACTATCCCCCATCCATCCCCATCTCCCAATAGCTAGAACACTGCCAACTAATCTGTTGTGTAGGTCCTCTTAGATAATTAACACTTAAGGTTGGGTGCTGCTAATTCTTTGCGAAAATCCAAATATTGTTAAGGGACCAGGGAGATGCCACTACCCCTTGATTTTTCATCACAACATTACATGTTTGTGTAAACAGAAAGCTTTCCATATATGTAGTACTTTTTGAAGTATTTGAGGCTAAAGATTTTGATCTCACATTTTTTACAGTTGTTTAAATCTCTCACTGTTTAAAGATGTTTGGAATGTTAGCCATCATAGTTGTACTTTTAAAATTTTGCAACAAGTCTGTGCGTTTGTAAGTTCAACACTTGTGACTTTTGCTTTAATTACAATGAAGTCAACCTTTTTACCTCCTTGACATTTTTATTCACTTTTATTTTCTTGAGTGGAGGTATAAGTGTGTGGTTTTATCAGTGGAACTACAGATGAATGATTCCAAAATTCAGGAGAATAAAGTTTCTTCAAACGAAGAACCTGGTGAACTCTTTGCCTCTATTTTCCAGATAGCATGAGACACATATGTCTAAGGTATTTAAATGAGGACAAACGGAACATTGTGTGTGTTTAAGATTTGGAGGGGAAATGTCCTCAATTTCAAATGTAGTTACAAATTCGAATGCATCCATATTTTATACTGTTCTGTTTTAAATTCACGATGGCAGGATTGTTAGATTTTATGTTTATTCTGAATGAAAAGCTTTGTTTGTTTTTAAGTTTTCACTTGAATATTAATAAATCCACCCATGTTATATCAAGCTTCTTTGTGCGTAATTGTGTCAAGATAAAATTTGCAAGTTTGAAGAATATTAGCCAAATTTGTAAGTATATTTTTTTACAGAGCTCCTAAGTGTGTGGAATGGCACTAAACAGTTAACCTACCTTGTCTAAGTTCCATCCATTAGTATGGAGTCATTTGAACCAAAGGCTGTTATTTTAGTTAAGTTAATATTCATTCTCCTATGTAACACTGATACTGTGGAATGAAATATGCCTTCCTGGTAGGTTCTAATCAGTGGTGGGATTCAAATAATGTAACAGCCCATTCACTGTCCTAATGACGATTTTAAGTATTAAAAAAAACACTAAAAGATCGCTTATTAGATCAGACAGTTAATACTTGAATAAGAATAACAAGACAAACGTGTGCATAAGCAAAGGTGGTGAAGAAAGGTGATGGTGCCAGGCTATCAAAAGATATAGCATCTGGGGTCTTAAAGGCTTGAAGATAAACAAGCGG